CCTTCTTCAGAAAAAGGGTCTTCTGAAGAAGGGTCTAGGCCCGAAACGTCAGCCTTCCTGCTCCTCTGATGCTGCTTGGCCTGCTGTGTTCATCCAACTCTACACCTTGTTATCTCAGATTCTCCAGCATCAGCAGTTCCTGCTATCTCTGACTGTAGCCCACATCAGATATGCTCTGACCATTCACAAGTAAATTAACCAGGCAGTTAGATCTTTGCTTGCATAAACTGGATGCTTAAGAGGGAATCTTCCCAATATGACAAGTAGCACAATCCTACCACAGATTAATAAAACATTTGTCAGAGCAAAATAATCTAATTTCTAAGCCTATTTTTTTTGCTCATACTGAAGATTATTAAGTAATCAAATTCAGTGGATATTTCAGAAACGGCAATATATAATTCAGTTTCTTTGTCCTTTAACACACCATAAGAGCTGAGAACGCCAAGTTTCCTTTTCTGTTGTGTTTCAGCTTTCAGTGTTTTCTTTTTGCCAGCACATTCTAATGATCCTGTTGGCAAATTCTAAGCTGTTCTCATTAGGAGGACAGTTAATGTGTGGGTGGCGGTGGTGGGGAATGTTGTGCCTGTTAAAGGTTGAGTAATATTGCATTTTTCCTATACATCTGCCTAGGTTGTGTGATTTTACAATTTCCTGACTCACTCAAGGCTCGAAAAAGCAGGATGCCTGCCTTTCCGCACAACCTACCATAAGGCCCCTGTAAGGTGGAGAGTAGGAGCTGCAGCTTCCAGCCATTGCTTCAGGGTAATAATTCATCGTCATGATCTGCCTAAAACCACAAGAAACAAGAGCCTGTTAAACGTTGGATCATCTGACAGTCCCCAGGGAAGAGAAACACCAACCTCATTCATTCCCATTTCATCAAGTGTATGCTTTTCTTCGTGGATTTTTCTTAACACATACATTAATATTGAACATATTATGAACATTTATATCAAAATTAAACGTAAAGTAAGACAGGTCATCTACGCATTGCTTTCTGGCAGAGTTGTCCTGACATTGCTGACAGTAATATTGAATGCAGTGAAACAATGGGTAGAAGTTTCATCAATGTGACCACACAATAAAAAGCAGGGTTCTATATGAGGTGGGTTCACAGATCTACCTAGTGAAGGGAATAATGAAACATGGGCAGTGGTGCACAGTGTATTAGGCTATACATGTAGTTATTGACACACTGCTCTGTTATATTACATGACCTTGTACACAATGGCTCAGGCTATTGCGGACAGTAATGAACACTAATTGATTATTTTCTGCTGAGCAGTCACGGATGTATTAAATTAAGTTAGAACTCGTTCCAATTGACATAGGCTGTTCGTACCTGGTTACTCATATACGTTGTTAAAACAGCTGTTGATACTTTACTGGCTATTGAGAGGCGCAGATTCATAAAGACTTCTGTGTGCAGAGAATTAAGGAACTCTGCACATTCCCTGGGATATGCCCTGTGTTGGAACACGGATTGATCCCCCGGTCCGGGATCGATGTTAACAGCACACTGACTGAATCATGCGTACACGGAGTCGACAGCACAAGCAATCCCACACTTTCTCTGAACCCAGCTCAGGGAAGAAAGGTTAGACATCTGATTTTTTTTTCCTCTTCCACAAACGAACTGCCTTACTGAATCAATAATCTTAACAGTTCTGGTTCGTGACCTTTTCCCCTCAATAACTTCGAAACTGGAGTGAGGGAGGTTTTAGACATTTCAAAGTTAAAGCCGCCTGCGTGATAAGTTCAGCACACCGTTACTCACTTTAAGACTCTTGTGCAGGGGCAAAGCCGGTTCCTCAGCGATTTGGAGTCCTGGTCCCAGTCCAACTCTCACACCTTCCCAGCACTGTGTGCTCTCCACTGAAACGCCAATCTTCAATTCCTCAGGGCTGCAGTGGCAGGGACAGCGAGTGGACTCCACCTATTTAACAGACCAGGATAATTTACATCACGTCCTACCGGATCCCAACCTTCCTGAAACAGGAATTGCGAGAGGTCATTCGGGACTGGTCCAGTTACAATTCATTCTTGCACAGCCGAAAATATTACTGCTCGAGAGAGAGGCAGAGACTGGGCTGACCGATTTTCGTTTGGACTAATCGAAACGTTGGTCTTTGAGCTACTCAGAACATAGGAGAGCCCCTTCCTGTGACCAGCGGCTGGGCTTTGTGTTGGGAAGCAACAAGCAGGAGCGCGGTGAATAGGACACAGTGAACAGAGACACTGACCAGGATACAGTGACCAGGGACACTGACCAGGACATAGTGACCAGGGACACTGACCACAGACAGGGACCAGAGACGCTGACCAGGACATAGTGATCAGGGACATTCTGATCACACTGACCAGAAAGACATTGCCTCAAGACACAGTAACCAGAGAGACAATGACCAGAGACTCTGTGACCAGAGACACAACAACCATACAATGGTCAGGACATAGAGATACAGCAACCAGATGCAGTGACTGTAGAGAGAGTAACCAGGGAAGCAATGTTCAGGGAAGCAGCAGCCGATGACAATGTCTAAAATTGTGAGGGCTACCAATTGAGAAAAAAGGAAGCATTTTTCCCCTTGAATGACGGATCAGTGACTAGGGAGTACGAAATTAAGGTTTAGAGGGGATGACATAGGTGGTTTAGAGGAGATGTGAGAAATTTGTTTTTGCCCAGAGGGTGTTGGGAATCTGGAACTCTCTTGCAGGGGCAAGAGAGGCAGAAACCCTTATAAATTTGAGAAGTATTTAGATGTGCATTCATGATGCCAAAACATACAAGACAATGAACCAAGTGCTGGAAAATCGTATTAGAGTAGTTAGGTGGCTTTTTTGAACACCGTAGACTCAATGGACTGAAGGGCCTTTTTCTATGCTGTACACCTCTATAACTCTACGACTGTGTTAGTCAAGATACATTTACTAAAATAAAGATTTGCATTTATACTGTACCTTTCAAAATATTCCAAAGTGCTGTACAGCAACTGAGGTGTGGTTACTATTATAATGGAGGAAATTCAGCTGCTAATTTGCTCACAAGGTCCCACAAACAGCAATGTGATAATATTGGAAATCCATGTGATAGAACAGAATAGAATATCCTTTATTGTCATGTGCACTCGAGGACAGAGGTACAAGAGTACAGTGAAACGTTTTACAATGTTACCTCTTATGTGCCATCTTAGGTACAAGTACCTAGGTACAAATCTTAGAAATAAAAAGAGGAATTAAAAGAAAAGTAACTGCATTACTTTACAGTGTTTAAAGAATAAGTTTTAAAAAAAGACATAGTTAAAGGATTGACATTTCAATCAGATAAAAAAAACAATTCAAATAAACATTACATTACCGCAGCTGAGCGCAGGGACTTCCCCACATCGTCCCCACCCGCGCCAGAAGCCAGTTCAACAAACGACCCTGAACCACACCTCCAGTCTGCTCCATACAGACCCTCAATTGCTCCAAAGTAAGTTCCAGGACTGCTTGCCCTGAGTCAATCGCTGCCAGCTCCTCCTTTCCCCTAATGCAGAAAGGGGGAAAAAAAGAAGTAAAAAAGAAAATTGAGGCACAAATTGTCCAGGGCACAGGGAGAACTCCCCTGCTTTTCTGTTGACGAGTTCCATGGGATCACGTAAATCCACTTCAGAAGGTAGATGACGCAGCAGTTTAACTTCTTATGTGAAAGATGTCATGTCCAACAGTACAGCACTTCTTCAGGGTAGCACTTTTGAATTTTATGGGTCAAGTGTTGGAGTAGAACTTAAACCTAACAGCTGTGATGTAGCGGTAACTGTGCTACTCATTAAGGCATGTGTGACCACTAAACAAGAATATAGTGACTGGGACGCACTGACCAGATGAACCTGTGAACAGAGATACATTGAAAGAAGAGTTGCTGATTCAGCTAGATAAACGTGTCTAATGTCAACCATGGATCTGCTGATGGCACCCTCCTCCATGAATCACAAGGTTCTGCATTCAAGTCCCATCCTACAGTTGGAGAATTAAAGTGACAGCCCTTTAGAAAGTGGTGCTGGTCAGCTATCTTCTTGAAACGCTGCAAGTCATGTATTGTTGGGACATTTATATTGTCATTATGGAGGCTGTTCCAGGAATTTGACCGAGTAACAATGAAGTAAAAGCAATGTGAGAACGATTCCAGAATCAAGGCAGCTTTCTTTAGAAGATCATAGCTAAAAGCACCTTCTTTTCACTTGTCTGCTCTTTGTTAGAATCTCAAATGACAATATATCCTTCCATAAATGTCGTACCTGATCTCAATTTAGTGTTTTAAAAGAGATCAAAGCAGAACTTTAACTCAGTTTAACATAATTTTCACTTCTTTATATTCCAGGCTTCTTCAGATGAAGGGCAATATTCCATTCATCCATTTCATTAGTTTTTGCATGCATCCACTAGCTTTTAGTGATGAAGAGGTGATTGGCATGGCTAAATCGCTGTCTTCTTTAAGGGGACCAGCTTCACATCTTTTATAAAATCTGTCTTAGGTGCAAATTAATTGCCCATGCACCTTCCTCTCTTGAGCTCCAACTTCCACAATTTTGCCCACTTACAACCTACGGCTGTTGTTTGAAATTTCGTGCTCCCTATTCACTGAGTGACTCAACTTAGTGGAAAATGGTGATGAGGGATAAAGTGAGTAGAGAAACAGTGACAGGATATTCGGTGACTGGAGACGCAGAAACTTCAATAGAGTTAATTGTGGATATGTAACAACACAAATGGTGACTGACAAAACAGAGACTTAGTTACGATGACTGAGGATATAATGCCCATGCGCTACAGGTCCAGGGATTACATAGCAATCAGAGGATAGACTGACTGAGTAATATGATGATTGTGGACATGGTGTGGTGGATTTGTTGGCCAGTGAATGATGACTGAGAATATAACAATGAAGGAAACTGTGACTTGGAATAAGTCTTTTCTTAGCAACCACAATTTGAGTGTTTTAGAAGAACATTAAAATGCTTCCCCAACTTACAAATTTAGTTCACAATACACGAAGAAATGGACCTAACTGTTAAGCAAAACAATTATATTCTAATTTATTACATGTAAACAGGCAGACAGTCATTAAGAGAGTATATTGAATGCAGAAATCTTTTAATATCTCCACATTATAGGTCAGGTGCTTTTAGAGAATTCTCAAATACAAATTAGCATTTGCAAACAATTGTTAGAGCTGAGGCAATCTTACATCTTATTCAGACTGTGGTGAGATCATTGCCTCTTCGCCTCTGAAGTCAATATTCCTGAAAATGCAAATGCCTACTCCCTTCTAAAGATCCAGAATGAAATTCTTATGGTTCTGCAACTCTCAGTAAAAATGCTTACAGAAAATTGGCACTAAATGTGTACAAGGAAGGAAAACAGATAATTTAGATTTAAGGAAATAGATAAAAGAAAAGGTTGTGTTATTATAGTGCCTGAATGTCCTCAGGATGTTCTAAATTTAGAGTCAATTAACAACGACTTGTGTTTATATAGCATGGTTCACAGAATGAGCTGTCTCAAAGAGTTTCACAGGAGTGTTGTAAACCAAATTAGAAAACAAATCACATGAGCACATCAATAGGGAAGACGGTCAGAAGATTGATCAAAGAAGTAGGATTTAAGAAAAATCTGAAAGGAACGGAGAGTCAGAGAGACTTAGGGAGTGAATTTCAGAGCTTACAGCCAAAATGGCTCATGGCCATCAATAGTGGAGCAATTAAAGTTGGGGTTGGTCAAGAAGACAGAATTCGATGAGTGCAGATATTCCAGAACATTATCGGGCTGGAAATGATTATAGAAATAGGAAGGGGCTAGGTACTGGAAGAAGACGAACAAAAGGAATGAGAGCTTTTAAATCAACGTGTGGCTTGACTGAAAGCCAAGACATGAACAGTTGGTAAACACGAGTTGGTGCAAGCAAGGATACAGACAGCATGGTGTTGGCTGACCTCAAGTTTACAGAAAATAGAATTTGGGAAGTTAGCCAAGTGTACATTGGAATAGTCAAATCCAAAGGTCAGAAAGGCATGAATAAGGAGATGAGCAGGGAACATAGAAACAAGGAAACATAGAAGATAGGAGTAGGAAAAGGTCATTCAGCCCTTCAAGCCTGCTCCACTAATCTTCATGATCATGACTAATCATCCAACTCAATAGCCTAATCCTGCTTTCTCCCCATAACCATTGATCCCATTCGCCCCATGTGCTATATCTAGTCACCTCTTGAATACATTCAATGTTTTGGCATCAACTACTTCCTGTGGTAATGAATTCCATAGGCTCACCACCCTTTGGGTGAAGAAATGTCTCTTCATCTCTGTTCTAAATTGTCTACGCCAAATCCTCAGATTGTGATCCCATGGTTTTGGACACACTCACCATCGGGAACATCCTCCCTGCATCTACGCTGGCTACGCCTGTTAAAATTTTATAAGTCTCTATGAGATCCCCTCCCATTCGCCTGAACTTCAGCAGAAACAATTCTAACCTAGTCAATCTCTCCTCATATGTCAGACCCGCCATGCCCAGAATCAGCCTGGTAAATCTTCGCTGTACTCCCTTGAGAGCAAGAACATCTTTCCTCAGAAAAGGAGACTAAAAATGCACACAATATTCTAGGTGTGGCCTCACCAAGGCCCTGTATAACTGCAACAACACAACCCCGTTCCTGTACTAGAAACCTCTCGCAATGAAGGCCAACATACCATTTGCCTTCTTTACAGCCTGCTGCACCTGCATGCTTACCTTCAGCGACTGGTGCACAAGGACACCCAGGTCCCAATGCACACTCCCCCCTCCCAATTTACAGCCATTCAGGTAGATATCTGCCTTCTTGTTTTTGTTTCCAAAGTGAATAACCTCACATTTATCCAAATTATACTGTATCTGCCATTGATTTGCCCACTCACCCAACCTGTCGAGACCATGCTGAAGGATCTCTGCATCCTCGTCATAGTTCACCCGCCCACCCAACTTGGTATCATCTGCAAACTTTGAGATGTTACATTTTGTTCCCTCATCCAAACCATTAATATTTATTGTAAATAGCTGGGGTCCCAGCACCAATCCCTGTGGCACCCTACTAGGTACTGCCTGCCAATGAGCCATTAATTCCTACTCTTTGTTTCCTCTCTGCCAACCAGTTTTCTATCCATCTCAATACACTTCCCCCAGTCCCATGTGCTTTAATCTTACACAATAATTTCTTATATGGGACTTTGTCAACTGCTTTCTGAAAGTCTAAATATACTGCAACGACTGGCTTTCCCTTGTCAACTCTACTCGTTACATCTTCATAGAATTCCAACAGATTTTTCAAGCATTTCCCCTTCATAAACCCATGCTGACTCTGTTTGATCCTGCCACTGCTTTCTAAATGCTCTGCTATAAAGTCCTCGATAATGGATTCGAGAATTTTCCCCACTACCAATGTTAGGCTTCCTTGTCTATAATTTCCTGTTTTCTCTCTACCTCCCTCTTTGAATATTGGAGTGACATTAGTTATGCTCCAATCTGCAGGGACTGTTCCAGAGTCTATAGAATCCTGGAAGATGACCATCAATGTATCCACTATTTCTAGGGCCACTTCGTTAAGTACTGTGGGATGTAGATTATCAGGCCTTGGGGATTTATCCGCAGTCAAACCCATCAATTTTCCCAGCATTATTTCCCTGCAAATATTGATCTCCCTCAATTCTTCCCTCTCACTAAATCTTGCATTCCCCAACAATTCTGGTATCTGATTTGTGTCCTCTTTTGTGAAGACAGAACTAAAGTATGTATTCAGTGGCTCAGCAATTTCTTTGTCACCTATTATGCATTCCCCCAATTCTGTCTGTACGGGACCTACATTTGTCTTCACCAATCTCTTTGTCTTCACGTACCTGTAGAAACTCTTAGTGTCAGTGTTTATGTTCGCTGCAAGCTTGCTTTTGTACTGTATTTTCCCCTTCTTAATTAATTCCTTGGTCCTTCTTTGCTGAATTCGAAACTGCTCCCAATCCTCAGACATAATATTTTTCTTGGCCAATCTATATGCTTCTTCTTTGCATCAGATCCTATCTCCAACTTCCTTTTTAAGCCATGCATTGGCCCTTTTACCCATGTTGCATTTGTGCCAGACAGGAAGAAACAATTGTTGCAGTTCCCCCATGTGTTCCTCGAATGTTGGCCATTGCCTATCCACTGTCATCCTTTTAATTAACTGTCTCCAATCCATCAAAGCCAACTCATGCCTCATGTCTTCATAATTTCCTTTATTAAGATTCAGCACCCTAGTCTCTGAATCAACTACGTTACTCTCCATCTTGATAAAAAAAATTGTATGATGTTATGATCAATCATCTCCAAGGGATCTCACACAGCTAGACTGGCAATGATCCCCTTCTCATTACAG